TCAGGTAACACCGAACTCCCCTATAAATACCCTTGCATTCTTAACGAAAAGGGGGGGAGAAGAAAAAACAACCTCACCACGATTATTTACTGACTTGATCGTCGAGGGGTCGGGTCGAGTTCTCCCGTCCCGACCTGTGTGCAGGGACGAAGGCGAGGCGTTTCTCTCCGGGCGCGTTGGCCAGGAACCTCCTCCCGAAGGAATCGACGACCCGTCATCCGGACCCGAACCAAGCCGCGTCGGCCCCGAGGTCACGGCTAAAAAGTTGTTTACACTAACATAATGGCGCTAGGAGGGCCGATGTCAAGGGATCGCCAGGCCGACTCGGCCGAAGCCGTAGTCGAGGGGGCGCATCCGGTCGGGGTTCCAAGGGAACATCCCCCGCGGATAACTCTCCGTAGTGAATACCCCGCCGCAACTTCAGAATGCTATTGGCGAATCTTCAATGACCAGGGCTTGCTACCGCCCGACGCCCCCTCCATCAAACCACCGCCCGTCTTGTCCGAAGCTTTTCTCGACCTCACCCATTAGGTCCAAGTTCTAACCGGTATGATACAGTCCATTATTCCGCTCGTCTCAGGAACGCTGCATCCCCCGGCCACCGAACCGGTGCGACAGCAGGAGCCGCCTGCTCAGGCTCAGGCGCAGCCCCTGGAGCTTCCCACTTCGCCTCGGGTCCCGTCGTCCCCGCTCACTGATCGAGTCACGACGAACCGGAGGGGCCACACCCAACCCGAGGCCTTTCCTTCGGCCTCGATGGACTCCCTGCGAGCCCAGTTGCTCCTCGTCGGTCAACGGCTTGACGAGGTACAGAAAGAGGTCCGCAGGTCGAGAGGAGAGCTCGGGGAGGACATACATCAGGGATCCCCATTCGTCCCCGAAATACGGGATCAGACGGTCCCACAGAATTTTCGTCTCCCCTCTCTCGACACGTACGACGGCTCCACCGACCCAGCGGACCACATAGCCGCCTTCCGCACCCAAATGACACTGTATGGAACTTCTGACGCTTTGATGTGCAGGGCGTTCCCCACAACACTAAGGGGACCAGCCCGCACGTGGTACGGCAGCCTGAGGACCGGGACCATCGCCTCATTCGACCAGCTCGCTAGAGATTTTGAGCTCCACTTCCTAGCCAGCGCGCGACCAAAACCGTTTGTTGCCTTGCTTCTCGAACTACACCAGAGGGAGGACGAGTCCCTCTCCCACTTTGTGAACTGTTTTGCAACGCAGATTTGGGGATTATCTGACGCTCACCCCTCTCTATTGATGCATGCGTTCATGACAGGACTACGACCTTCCCGATTCTTCTGGTCCCTCATTGAGAGACCCCCCTCCGCGGTACCGGAGATGCTTCAGCGGGCAAACCAGTTCATCGCGGCTGAGGCTTGGATGGCCGGAAAGCAAGAAAAGCACACGAGGGTTAGACCGGAGCAGGTTCGCGGGCAACAGCCTGCCACAACTAGGCGCAGGCTGGACCAATCCGACCTACCCGCTCCGAGGCCTCCTCTGCCCCCCCTAGGCACATCTCGAACGGAGATATTTCTCCAGATAAAAGAGAGAGGGTTACTCAGGGCTCCCGTTCCAATGAAAAACCCGCGAGAGCTCGCCGACCAGTCCAAGCATTGCAGCTTTCACAGGCAAAATGGGCACGACACCGAAGACTGCCGTGAACTGAAGCGGCAGATCGAGGAGCTCGTTCGCGCGGGCCACCTCAGTCGGTACATCCGACGTAACGGGGAGTCCTCGCCTCTCTCGGAGGGCCCCGTGGAGCGCCATATCGATGTCATCTCCGGAGGACCAGCGGTTGGGGGAACCAGTATGTCGGGGAGAAAGGCATACGCCCGTTCCGCCAGGATCGACGCTCCCCAACGTGGTCCCGACCCCAAGCTCGCATTCCCTCTCGAGGACGTCAAGCCACCGGAGCACGACGATGCGCTCGTGATAATGGCTCGAATCACTAACGCCCAGGTGCAGAGAATCATGATCGACACCGGAAGCTCGGCCGATGTGCTCTATCTAGACGCCTTCCAGAAGTTGGGGTTAACAAAAGAATCCCTAAAGCCTATCTACTCGGCGCTCATGGGGTTCACCGGCGACTCCGTCTCGCCATTGGGGACTGTCACCTTGCCCCTCACCTTGGGAGCGTCGCCTCGAACAAAGACGGTGATGCCCACCTTCTTGGTGGTGGATCTTCCTGCTACCTACAACGCCATCCTCGGCCGCCCCACCCTCAACAAAATCATAGCTGTAGTCTCCACCTATCATCAAATGGTGAAGTTTCCTACCCCCGCCGGGACAGGTGAAGTTTGGGGAAGCCCCCGAGAGTCCAGACGATGCTACTTGACGGTAGTCTCGCTGCACAAAAAGGCGAGGACTGACCAGCCTCTTGAAGACCCGAGAGAAGAGAAGCGGCCGACGCCACACCCGGAGCCGATGGCGCCCATTCGCGACGTCCGAAACCACTCCTGCGCGGCCTGTTCGCCCGAGTTCAGCTCCTCAGCAGTAGCCGCCTGTGTCGTGCTCTTCGGCC